TATAGCCATTTCCCATTCATGTGGGGGATTGTTGGGATTTTAAGCTTGTGTAGCTTAAAGAGGATGAATGAGAAATAGAGGAAAAATAAAATATTTGAGTTTCCCTTGGGAAAGGGACATTGTCCCATATCGGAGGAAGAAAAGGCTTTTGATGGGTATATATATATAATTGCTCTTCTTCTAGATCTTAAAGAGTTAAGAAAAAGGCAAGCCTCGCGCCGCCGTCGTCGTCGCTCGCTTGGCTCGGCTTTGGCTTCGGCTTCGGCTACGGCTTCGGCTTCGGCTTCAGATTCGGATTCGGATTTGGATTTGGATTTGGATTTGGTCAACGATTGATTGATTAATCTTTTTGGACAAAATTTCTTTTAATTATTTAATTAATTAATTACATAATTAATGAAAAATTCAATCCGGAATAACCCATGACCCGCGATCCGGTTCGGTCAGACCCGTTTTCTTTTTCGGATTATTTTAAATATATTTTTCCCGCAATATTTCAAACATCCCTTTTCAACAGCCATGGCTGTTTCTGAAAGGTTGCAAACCTTTTCAGAAACATTGCCATCAACTCTATAAATAGAGTTTGAATCCCAGAATCTTTCCTTACGAAAATTTTTCTGAGCTTCTTCTTCTTCTTCTTCTTCTTCTTCTGCACAATATTTTCCAGTGTGTTTTACGACCATTGAGTGGTTCGCAGTTCATCAGAGTTTTGGTACCTATACACTGGTGAGTTAAATCGTTCTATCCTGGGAGGATATATTCCAGCACCTCGGGTACTTGAGAGGAATAATTTCCTTAAGGACACACTGTATATTCAGTGGGCTCGATTTATTCCTATACTATTTTCTTGTTTTCCAGAATCTATTTCGTTAAACAAGTATTACTAACTTTCTGTTTTGTTTTTTCAGAAAGTTTAATTGTTTATTATAGCAATACACAATAATAACACAATATAATTGCTATAATCTATTTACGATATTTTTCATGTAATTATTTATGCTTGCTATAGGCCGTTAATTTTAGTTAGTAGATTTTAAGTGATCTGACTCTATAAATATGTTTTCACTGTCAGATACTGTGTAATTTCTTGTACAGCTCGTTGAAATAATAGTGCATCTGTTCATTTGTTTCCTTGCAAAAGCAAAAGCTAACCGTTTCAAGTATTTTATTCAGCACATGATAATATTCCTCTTTAATAAAAAAAATAGGCAGCCCGGTGCACTAAGCTCCCGCTATGCGCGGGGCCTGGGGAAGGGCCGGACCACAAGGGTCTATTATACCCAGTCTTACCCTGTATTTCTGTAAGAGCCTGTTTACACGGCTTGAACCCGTGACCTCCTGGTCACGTGGAATATTCCTCTTTAATAAGTAATCTAATTTTTGCATCTGATGTAAATGATAAAATTCTCTTTGAAGTTAATAGTTAAATTTTTGTTTCAAAAGTAGAAACAAAATACATGAGCTGACAAAATACATCTAACTTAGATCAGGTGAAAATTAAGTCCAGTCTAAAGGAATTGTCTATATCCAGCAGAATGCACAAAATGGTTTGCTTATTCCACATCCAAGTACTAAAAAAGTATATTTCCAAGTATTATTGTAGTTTATGCTCTGCTTCAACTTTTGTTTAAATTTGTGTTACCAAAGTTGAATTCTGTGATCAAACTGGTCATGACCTACAACATGGGAAACGACCGAAGTCAATTCATGACCTAAATGAAAAAAGTACTCCCTTGGTGACTGTGTTTGACTGAGCACGAAAATTAATAAAGAAATACTTTTAAAAATTATGGTCCGAAACATGTCATTAAGTGTAAGCGAGGAAATTTAAAGTTGAATTGTTTCTAAATAATGAAGTATGACATTCTTTTTAGAACAGATTAAAAAGAAAAGTATGACACATAAACTGGGATATAAGGAGAACTATTGTTGGTCACGATTTCCTGAATTTCTATTTTTGTTATTTCTAAATCCCCCATTTTAAATTTTATATACTATATTTTAGGCTGCCAAAGTTGACTACTGTGTTCAAAATGGGGCAAGTCTTCTAAACAGAAAGATGCTGTCTCACAATTACTTTAATCAGTATTCCACAAACGAAAAAGTTAAAAAAGATTAGTGAACAATCATTGAGTTAGAATTCTGTATAGCACCAAAATGATGTCATCGTCTCACTAGTACTAGATGGAATGCTTTTAACTGATATGGATTTTCCTAGAACTTGTGTACCAAGACCAAGTCTAACCTTGTGTTTTTTTTTTTCCTCGGACACCAAGATCTATTTAATGGTTATTTCTGAGAAACGATTTAAAGCAATCTTAAATTACTAGTGTATTGTTTTTTAATAATATATCTTCTGCAACTTGAAAAGATGAAAAGTGATAGATTTTTATTTCTAAATATTGCGTTCATAGGACTTGCTATTGGAACAAGTTCAGGAGGGGATGCTCGTACTACTTTGTGCATTGAGAGGGAGAGGGAAGCTCTTCTCAAGTTTAAGGAAGGTCTGATAGATAGCCACGGTATCCTGTCGTCATGGGGAAGAGAGGAAGAGAAAGAGGAATGCTGTGGTTGGAAAGGTGTGCAGTGTAGCAATATAACTGGTCATGTCGTGGTTCTTGATATTCCTGCTCCGTCCTATAGTCAAGCTTTGAGAGGTAACATTACTCCTTCATTGCTTGAATTGCAACATCTGAAGCACCTAGACCTTAGTTACAATAATTTTGGTAGAAGTCGAATACCAAATTTCATTGGTTCTTTTCCAAGACTGGAATATCTTTTTCTTGAGTATGCTAACTTGTCAGGTGAAATTCCTCACGCTCTTGGGAACCTTACCCGTTTGCAGATTCTTGATCTTAGCATGAACTACAATCTAGTAGTGAAGAGCCTTGAGTGGCTTCCTCGTCTTCCTTTTTTACTTGACCTTGACCTTTCTGGGGTTCATATTGAAACAGTCAATTGGTTACAACAAATAACTAAGTCCCCTTCTCTAGAACAATTGAATTTGAAAGGTTGCAACGTCCCCGAGCCAATCATATCAATATCTCATCTCTCATCCAATGTCTCTTCTCGTTTGCTTTCCAGCCTCAACCTTGCTGATACTGGGCTTTCCTCTTCTGCATTTCGGTGGTTGTTCAACTTGAGTACAAGATTTACTTCCATAGATCTCTCTTCTAACCATTTAGCAGGTCGCATCCCTGAAGCCTTTGGGTATATGCAACATCTTGAGTTCATTGACCTTGCTACAAATATTCTAGAAGGTGGATTGCCCAAATCTTTTGGCAACTTGAGTCACTTAAGAGCCCTTGATTTATCAACTAATAACTTGAACCAACCACTTCCTGAATTATTTCTGAGCTTATCTGGTAAAGCAGAAAAATCACTTGAAGAATTGCATTTATCTAACAATCATCTTAGTGGTTCATTGCTTGACATCACCAGATTTTCATCTTTAAAAAGTTTGTACCTGCAAGAGAATCAACTGAATGGATCTTTCCTAGAAAGCTATGGGCAGACTTCCAAGATCGAATTCCTCGATTTATCTAACAATCAAATAACAGGACCTTTGCCAAACTTAACAGCATTTTCAGCAATGAGAGAGTTACATTTGAATAATAACCAATTCAAAGGGAGGTTACCCCAAAGTATAGGACAACTTTCAAAGCTTGAGATGTTGAGGGTCGAATCAAATTTCATGGAAGGTCCAATCACAGAGTCACATCTTTCAAACCTTTCCAGCTTAAGAGTGTTGGACTTGTCATATAACTCCTTCTCTTTTCAGTTGGGACTTAATTGGCTTCCTCCTTTTCAATTAGATGTTATAAGTCTCTCCCATTGTAAAATGGGGCCTCATTTCCCACAGTGGCTACGAACTCAAAAGAATTACTCACATCTTGATATCTCTTTCGCTGGTATATCAGGGGTAGCACCTAACTGGTTTTGGGATCTTTCTCCTGAAATGATGCACTTTAGTATTTCCAATAACCAAATAAGTGGAGAGGTCCCTGATTTAGCTTCCAAGTTTGTAGAGGAAACTAATTACCCGACAATGGATTTTAGTTCGAATAATTTCTCAGGTTTAGTGCCATCATTCTCATCCAACTTGGAATCATTGAACCTTTCCAAAAACAAGTTTGTCGGATCAATTTCTTTCCTGTGCAAAATAGCCAACGCTTTGTTCCGCACCATTGATCTCTCAAATAACCTACTTTCAGGAGAACTTCACAATTGTTTGATGGGATTTGAAGAACTAGCCATTCTTAATTTAGCTAACAACAATCTATATGGTAAAATTCCCAGTTCCATTGGTTTTTTGATGGATATCCAATCTCTACAGTTGCGGAACAACAATTTTACTGGTGATCTGCCTACCTCTTTGAAAAACTGCGCAATATTGCAAATCTTGGACGTAGGAGGAAATAAGCTAAGTGGAGAAATACCATTATGGATTGGCTCACACTTAACATTCTTGGTTGTCTTAAGTTTGAGACTCAACAAGTTCAATGGAAGCATACCTCAAAATCTGTGTCATCTGAATAAAACCCATATTTTGGATCTTTCTCAGAACAGCTTATCAGGAGAAATCCCCCGGTGTCTCAACAATATCACATCTTTGCTTCAGAATAATAATAGTTCAAACCCAAGCATGCTTTTTGAATTAGGCGGAGACAGTTACAATGGCTATTCTTATCTTGAAGAATACTTGGGGGATGCATTAGTTCAATGGAAAAGCAGTGAATCTGTGTACAATAAGACACTCGGGTTGTTGAAGATCATCGATTTTTCTAATAACGAGTTAGCTGGAAATGTTCCTGAAGAAATCGCGCAACTGGATGGAGTGCTTTCACTAAACCTCTCCAGAAATAATTTAACAGGAAATGTAATACAAGGAATTGGGAAGATGGAAAAGTTAGAGTCCCTTGATTTGTCTAGAAATCAACTCACTGGTCGAATTCCGACAAGTCTTGCTCAACTACATTTCCTAAGTGTCTTAGACTTGTCGAGTAACAACTTGTCGGGGAAAATTCCGTCAAGCACTCAATTGCAGAGTTTTGATCCNATACAACAACTCAGAAACTTACATCATTTTGGTGTCTTACAGTTTGGCCAAGCTTCTAAAATCGGCTTATTTTGAAAAGCGCTTTCCAAAAAAATACTTTTGGTGATGAACAGTTTGTGTTTGTCTAATTAATTTGAAAAACACTTTTGAACAACAATTAGTGTTTCGCTAACCTTTTAAAACGTACTTCTAAACTAGCGTTTGGCCATAGATTCCCAAATTTATTTTGAAAAATCTGATTGGGGTGAAGTTTGGTTTGAAGATGAAAATGTGTTTGGACATAAGTTTTCAAAACATATTTCACTTTTTTTTTGAAAAAATATAAAAATGACTTATACCCACAAGTTCTAAAAACTATCACAAATACCTTTCAGTACCTTTATCAATAACATTCATTATATTATCGCAAACCATAGTCCTGAACATAAATAAATTTGGTACAAAATTATTATTTTTATAATGAACTACATAATACACTATCAGATGACTGAGAAGACGAAACAACATTGGGGCAAAATAATAAATGGTGGGCTCATTTATAAAATACAAAAGTTTGGGGCAATTTTTAAAAAATGTAATAGTGATATTTTGGGCCATTTTGAGCTTGTTTTGGGAATTTGGGTTTTGGGAATTTGCCAAAATGTAGATAAAATCTATGACCAAACATGTATTTTGCCAAAAAAACCCAAATATATTTTGGCAAAATCTATGGCCAAACGGGTCGTATTTTCTCAAAAGTGCTTTTAGTGAGAAGCTATTTTTTCATGCTTCTTAAAAAACTTCTTTTGCTTCTAATCAAACACTTCTTTTCCTTCAAAAAGCTTGGCAAACACCTTTAACTTTGGAAAGAAAAAAGAAAACACCTTTGACACAAAAAAGAAGAAGCACTTTTGACCCAAAATTATTACTTTTGTTCAAAAAAAGCTTGGCCAAACATGCTAAAGAGTGGTTAATAAGCCAATCAATAATGGTATCTATATTTACAAGACTCTGTGCAGGAGATCATATGGCAAGGGTCCAAGTAGTTAACATTTACTCGAACTGAACCAGTTCAAGAACTTTTCCAAGCATTCTTCATTAAGTTTTCTTACTTTTTAAAAGTACTAATACTTCATAATTTAACACCGAATTAGGATTTAAATATCTAAATTATACCTCAAAACTTTTGAGCAATTGACAACTAAAGTCAACCTAAAAATTGATTTTTTTTAACTCACATACTAAAAAGTCTTCATTTATTTTAAAATAAAGAAAATAATTTTCTATGCCGCTTACAGATGTAATAAGCAAAACGTAGTCTTGAACATTTTTGTACACATTGGATTATGATTCAACATCATCTAAGAATTTCTATAATCAATTTCAACAAACATTCTAAGATTAAAGTTTTCTCTCTTATACTCTTGTCTCATGCAAACCAAATAGGAGCAAGAAACAACCCAAAAAAAGATAAAGAAAAATTAGACCTTTCCTTTTCCTGCCCAAATTTGGATTCTTTGCTAAGTTTATTATCACAACATCATCAAAACCTGACAAGCTAACAGTTTTTTTGCTAACTACTAAGTACGTAAATATTACCAATAGATTCTGTCCTTTTCTCAGTTGGCGAAGTTTCCTATTGTTTCTTTTCCCTTTGTCACCTCCTGCTCAAGAACTCAACTGCAACTACAAAAAATTCCTTTAAACTGTCCACAATATAATCAAAGTTGGCTTCTTTTAGCAATTCAGAATATGGGTCTTTGGGATTCTTTCCTCAACTGGCTTAGAAGGTATTTTAATTTGCCTTTTATTTTCTTTTTTGTTATTAAAGAAACCCCTTATTAAGTTCTCTTGTTTACTTGATAATTTCTAAAAACAATTGAATTGTATTGAGTTTTATGTGAAGGGTTTTACTTGATTTTAAGGGTGTTTTGGTAGTTATTGTTCGGAGGCGGAGCCCGGTATTTTAACATTATGAGTTCTGAATTTTAGAACGACAATTTTAAGAGCTACTAACTGGGTTCTAAATTAAATATTTATATATATTTAATGAATTTCTTAATACAAATACACTGTTTGCGCAAAAATTAGTTAGGTTAGGCTTCTAGTTCCGCACTGTTATTGTTTATAGGCTCAATAATGTGCTTATGCATGTAATTACTGGTTACCGAGGAGAAACAGAGGAAGGAAACACTAACTTCACTAAATAACACATGCTTAATCCTATGTTTTTTTATTATTTTAAAAATAGTGCCCCACGGCTTTGGTCTAGTGGTAAGTGCGCAACATGTGATGTCTGGGTTAGACGCACGTTACCGGCTGGAACCTTATAAGAGACAAAAGTCTGGTATTTAAGTGGAGAAGAGTAAAGGGGATTTCTCGGTATGGAAATCAAGAACTAAAAAGTAGAAATTAGAATTGATTGGTCTTCCCTTTTTCTTTGTCTAAACTGATTACGGGCATTGAGAATTTGGAGATGAACAAGGATTTTAGGCTGCTAACGAATATAAGTTGATGGTAGTCTTTTGTTACCCTATTTTTTATGGTAATATTCTTTGTTTATCTTAATTTTTACACGATAAAGATCAAAACTTTTCGTGAAATTTTGCAAATACTCAAGATTGAAATTGAATAGGCTGTCCATGCATAAACTGGAACAATATGTTCAGGCTGTTTTCTTTTTGGGACACTTCTCTTTTTGGCCAGTTGATACTTCACCGTAATGAAGTGATGAAAAATGTCGGGTTCGAGCATTAGCACTTATAAATACTATCAACAGCACTTACTATTTTCAGATTGTGATGCTTTTACATCATTATAATGCTTAATCGGGTTGATGCAGAAAACTATTTTGTATTATTTCTTTAATCCTTACAAATTGGATTGTAAGTTTATTACACTTGGTTTTGGCTCAGCACAACCACATTCTATGCTCTTGGTGCTTCTATTTCGAAATTGACAAGCAGCCACTAATGTTTACATTAAGGTAGACTGTCTGCATCACACCCCATGAGTATGACCCTGTCCCGGACCTGCGTGAACCCGGGATACCTTATGCACCGGACTGCCTTTTTTTAGTCAATCTTTCTTGAAAGGAATACTCAATGGTGGTAATTCTGAGTAAAAGTTGAAAGATTGTGATTGAAGAAGTCGAACATAGTTAGCAGGTGGAGATTTTTTGCAATTTCTATACAAAGAATAGTAGGAACAATGAGAATTCACATGTATCTTATAATCTATTAAAGAATTAGACTAAGTATAGCAATTTCAAAGGCATGAAGATGTAGAGGAAACCTTGGGATTTTGTTCTTTGCTGGTTTCTCTCTACAATGATCTGGAGCATCTCCTATGAAATGCATGACTTTGGTTTGTAATATTCCAGCAGAAACTATGGTAATTAGATAGCGGAGGAATTTTTGCCATCCACAGCCAGATTTTAGCACCTAGTTAGAACTATAATTAAATAGGTCTTCGTATCGGTTGAGAATTAGCTTTATTCCAAGTCCTTGTTAATAGTCAAGAATAGAAGCATTTGACGTCTTCTCGGATGTTTTACTCTTAAGGTGATGTTTGCCTCTGACTTGCCTTGTGAGCATTGTGATTATCCATTGTCCTTCAGTTCAGTTCCCTTAGAGCTAGTTATTCTTTGTGTAAAGCCATTCGCGTGGGTGGCGAGTTGCGGGCCGGAGCTAGCGATTTCGGTTACGGGATCGGTCCAAACCTTATATTTATCTTTAAAATTTATTAAATATGAGTAAAATATTAATTTAAAATCCAATAATTTAAAAGAACTAGAATCGTGAACCCATAAACTTCAAATCATAGATCCGTAGTACATGCAACTAATTACAACAGCTATGCTAGTTTCAGCCAGCTGTTGCAGATCCAAGGAATTGTCATGAGAACGCAACGATCATCAACGAGATCACTGACTGCGTCTTGCTAGTTAGCTCAGAAATGCTAATTAAACCCAGAGGACCAAATCATAAGTTTCTTTCTTAATATTAATGAAAAGAGAACTGAATCATAGAACCAAATCATAAGTTCATGTTGTTGAAAGAACTTTTTCTCTTACATATTTGCATTATGTGATGAGGAATGACACTATTGATGCCACTGCTTCTGATTTGCATTCTGCTAATAAAGAAAAAGGACAAGTTCTTAATCTGCTTTCTTGTTCAGCTTTTTCTTTAAACAGGAAATGGAACTTTCCCTTGTAGGCCTTCAAAATGCAGGGAAGACATCTCTCGTCAATGTCATCGCCGTAAGGACCTTAGCCTTTCTTTCTTACCTTATCTTTCCCTTGTTCATTTCTTACTATACTATTTTCTCACATTAATATGTTGATCTTAATCAGACTGGCGGCTACAGCGAGGACATGATCCCAACGGTAGGTATCTTGTTCTCATTGAATCTGATTAACAATCCTGCCTTCTTGTAATTAGTTGCTTATGTGAGTTTCTTAAAATCAGGTTGGGTTTAATATGCGTAAAGTTACAAAAGGAAATGTGACTATTAAACTCTGGGACCTTGGAGGCCAAAGGAGATTTCGTACGATGTGGGAACGCTATTGTCGGGGTGTTTCTGCAATACTGTAATTCCTACATCTTCCTCTCTTCCCTTATTTGTCTTCTCATGTGTTGTTCTCATGTCACAATGTGCTTTTGAAATTCATTTGCTTCCACTTCTGACCGAGTTTCTTTAACGAGTAAAACTGCTTCCCAGCTTTATGCGTATGATAGACGTGAGTAAGAAGAGAGCATAAGTCAAACCTCTCTATAACAGCCTCATTTGTTTCGAGATTTTTTTACTGCTACAGTGAAGTATTATTATAGAGGACATATGTTATAACATAACATAGTAATCAGTTTCGAGAAAAACTTGGCTTTTATAGTGAATGACTGTTATATAGGATGATGTTATATAGAGGTCTGATTGTTTCTCTATGTGATTTAGGTATGTTGTAGACGCTGCTGATAGAGATAGTATTCCTATATCTCGAACAGAACTACATGAGCTTTTCAAAAAACCTTCTTTAAACGGAATTCCCTTGCTGGTGCTCGGAAACAAAGTGGATAAATCAGAAGCTCTTTCAAAGCAGGCGTTAGTGGATCAACTGTAAGTAGTAAAAACATTACTCCAGTTTTCATGCAAGAGCGTCCTTTTTTCTCTGTCTCTCTCTTCGCTTCTAATTACTCGTGATGTTTGTTGTATCAGAGGTCTTAATTCAATCACGGATAGAGAAGTCTGCTGCTACATGATCTCATGTAAAGAGTCTGTAAATATAGATACCGTTATTGATTGGCTTATTAAGCACTCAAAGACAGCAAAATGATGCAAGCTTCCGGTTTGCTGTATGAATCTCATGTAGGAGTTAGCAATGCGGAAAATTGAGCTTAGTTTATGAGAGTTCTTAAAAAACTTATTATTTGATTTATGCTTTGTACATAAAGATTTGTTCTATCTTGCTTCATGAATCTTACTGTTGCATGAATAGAAGCAGAAAGTATGAGAGGTATATACTTGCTCCCAAAACAACATTGTGAAACAAAAGATTCTTATTAAATTTCTACAGTTATTACTAGTAAAGTAAGATCTGAGAAACTACATACTATATACCACCATCTGTAACTACAAGAAATACAATAATAACAACAAACTTAGTGTAATCCCACAAGTGGGGTCTGGGGAGAGTACGCAGAACTTACCCTTACCTTAAAGCTAGAGAGGCTGTTTCCGATAGACCCTAGGCTCAAGAAAAACGAAAAGAAAGGCAGTAGCACGTAACTACAAGAAATCTAGTTCTGATGGGAAAGAAGCAAGACTACTAAACCTGGCAGATGCTTATGACATTATTAATTCAAATGGCTTTAAAGAGGCTCAAAATAGCTAAAAAAGACAAGAAAATCCAAACTCCAATTCACGACATTGGGTCAAAAACTGAAAGTATGAATCTCTATATGATTGGTTGAGGATTAAAGTGAATATTACTCCCCAAAACCCAAGAATGAAGCCACTTGCCCCACATACATAAAACCCAAATGACAGAATCTTGTCATCTTCATCAAGATTGTTGATTTTGCTATGATCAACAAAAGGGCTTTGAATATCTCTATCTTCAGGACATTCTGCAAGTGGTAGGCCACAAAGTTCATTGTTTCCTTCACATGATGAGGGATCAAAACTCTGCAATTGAGTGCTTGAAGGGATTTTCCCCCGACAAGTTGTTACTCGACATTGTCCAAAGAGGACTAAAAGACACATGATGTGCTTGCAAGTAAGCTTCAGCAAAGCATCAGATAAATCAAGTTCGGGTTGGGAAAAGGGCTATTTACCCCAGCAATATAAAATAATTATTATCCCCCGCACATCCCCAAATGAGAGCATTGTCTTTACCCCTAGAAAATGTGCGATGTAATTTCCTGGTTCGATTACATTGCTCGATGTAATTGAGTCTTAAACGATAATTGCATAGGTAATCTCTTTTCTTATGAGAATTATGAATCATCCTCATGAATAAGCTTTACTCTACCTTAAGGAGATGTATCCCGTGCAGCTTTAACTAACTCTACTTCTCCATACGCCTATCCTTTAGTTTAGTGGGTCAAGTCTAAGCCTTCATTTATTTTTATTAAGATTAAAATGTCTGAATCTAAATACACATCTAGATATTAATATGTGTATTAAGATTAAAATGTCTGAATCTTAAGATGTATTAAGATATGAATACTAAATAATTAAGACTGTTTATTTTATCTACTCTGAATGTGTAAAACTTGTCTTTATTTAAAAACTAATAAATATAAATTCAGATCAATTAGTATAAATTAATCTAATACTATTAATAAAATATTTTTTAAAAATTATATGATGGTTGGTGGTGATGATGGCTAACAATGGTGGTTGCAGGTAATGGATGGTGTTGGTGTTGGTTGATAGTGGTGATTATGGGTAGTAGATTGTGAATGACAGTAGCAGTTAACGGTGGTGGCTGATGGTGGTAGTGAGTGATAACTGTAGTTGGTGATATATAGTGGTGATTGATAGTGGTGATTGGTGATTGTTGTGATAATGGTGATTGGTGATAATGGTTGTAAATGATGGCTAGTGATAGTGACAACTGATATTCGTGCTTGGCAACAATGGCGGTTGTGGTTGAGTATGGTGGCAATGGGTGGTGGGTGGTGAGTAGTAGTAGGTGGTAATCTATAATAGTAGAGGACAGCGAAAACAATTGTGATGATGATTAGTGGTGGGAGTGTAAGAGTAATAGTGAAATATCATATTTACATAAATCCTTGAATGTATAACATTTTAATGATATTAAGACTCCATTATAAATCTTAATCATTAAGATCAATTCAGACTCATTAAGTGGTTGTAAAATTAAAAAACAGACAGGCTTAATTGTTAAGATCGGAATGATTAAGCTTCAGATCTAAAAAATAAATGCACTTAATGACTGAGATCTAAATAATTAAGCTTCAGACCTCCATTAAGTGCAAACAAATGAGGCATAAGACACTTAGAACCCGTTTGGCCATAGATTTTACCAAATATTTTTTGGCAAATTGTTCATAAATTTTACCCATATTTTGGAAAATTTCCAAAACCCAATTTGCCCAAAATATTACTATTATATTTTTAAAAAATTACCCCTAACTTTTATATTTTATAAAAGAGCCCACCATTTATTATTTTGTAACAATGCTGATTTATCTTGTCGGTTATCTCATAGTGTATTATGTAGTTCATTATAAAAATAATAATTTTGTACCAAATATATTTATGTTCAGGACTATGGTTTATGATAATGATAATGAATGTTATTCATGAAGGCACTCTTGTGTATTTGTGATAGTTTTTAAAAATTGTGGGTCTAAGTCATGTTTCATATTTTTTCAAAACAAAGTGAAATATGTTTTGAAAACTAATGTCTAAACACATTTTCATCTTCAAACCAAACTTCACCCAAATCAGATTTTTCAAAATAAATTTGGGAATCTATAACCAAACGCTATCTTAGGAAATGCAGCTTAGGAAATGCAGTTGAGCAAGACTTGTGGGAATTTGGCCTATGAATTGCAAAAGATATATACTAGTAGTTTAAAAGATTGCTTTTAAATCGTTTTCTCAGAAATAACCAATATATAATCCTTGGTGTTTAAGAACAAAAAACACTTACTTTAATCTTAGACTTTGTCAAGTACGAGTATTAAAGACCTGGTTGTTTGCTTCAGAAGTTAGAAATCCCCTAGTGGAAGTGTGAGCATATAACTATGGATTTTGTTGTTGGGCTTCCACGGACTTAGAGAAAGTTCGATGCAGTATGGGTCATTGTGGACAGGTTGACCAAGTCAACATATTTCATTCCAGTAGCAGTTACCTATTCTTCAGAGCGGTTAGCGAAGATTTACATCCGTGAGATTGTCCGCCTTCACGGTGTGCCAGTGTCTATCATTTCTGATCGAGGTACACAGTTCACCTCGCACTTTTGGAGGGTTGTACATTGTGAGTTAGGCACGCGGGTTGAGTTGAGTATAACATTTCATCCTCAGACGGACGGATAATCCGAGCACACTACTCAAATATTAGAGGATATGTTTCACGTTTGTGTTATGGATTTCGGAGGTTCTTGGGATCGATTCTTGCCGCTTGCGGAGTTTGTCTATAATAACATCTACCAGTCGAGCATTCAGATGGTTCCAAATGAAGCATTGTACGGGAGGCAATGTCGTTCTCCAGTTGGCTGGTTTGAACTGGGAGAGGCTCGGTTGTTGCGTACCGATTTGGTACAGGATGCTTTGGATAAGGTCAAGATTATTCAGGATCGACTTCGCACAGCTTAGTCTAGGCAAAAGAGTTATGCCGACCGTAAAGTTCGTGATGTTGCATTCATGGTTGGAGAAAGAATATTGCTACGGGTTTCACCAATGAGGGGTGTAATGAGGTTCGGAAAGAAGGGCAAGTTGAGCCCTAGGTATATCAGATCCTTTAAAATTCTTGAAAGGGTGGGTGAAGTAGCCTACAGACTTGCACTACCACCTATTTTATCAGTAGTTTATCCGGTGTTCCATGTGTCTATGCTCCAAAAATATCATGGTGATCCGTCCCATGTGTTAGATTCCAGCTCAATCCAACTAGACAAAGATTTGACTTATGAGGAAGAGCCGGTAGTTATTCTAGCCCGACAGGTCCTACAGTTGAGGTCCAAAAGTTATCCATCAGTTCTAGTACAATGAAGAGGTCAGCCGGTTGAAGCATCTACCTGATAGGTCATCTTTAAATTTAGCATTCAATTCTATGCTCCGAGACCTCGAATAGCACTATTTAGCATTCCTCGACATGGGCGCACAATCCGTATATTTTTTTGGAAAGCTTTTATGTGAAAAATTGATAAAAATATGAAATAGTGTTTTAAAACTCACTTAAGTTGACTTCGGTCAACATCTTTAGCTAACGGACCCGAATCAGTATTTTGACGGTCCCGGTGGATTCGTATTGACTTTTATTGATCACAAATTGACTTTTATTAATACCGGGCTCGGATTTTGATTCTGAATATTGGAATAGCTCTGTTATGTCATTTGGGACTTACATGCAAAAATTTAGGTCATTCCGGACTGTTTTGACGTGTTTCGGCGCCAGTTTTAGAATTTAAATTTTCATAAATTCATTAAGTTCGAATCGAGGTGCGAATTGTATTTTTGACGTTGTTCGACGTGATTTGAGACCCCGAGTAGGTCTGTATAATATTTTAGAACTTTTTGGTATATTTGGTAGAGGTTCCAAAGGCCTCGAGTGGATTCCGGATGGTTAACGGGTTAAAATTTGGACTTAAGGAAAATCTGAAATTTTGGCCTCCTGGTGCAATCGCACATGGAAATTTTTGACCACAGGTGCGAGCTCGCAGAAGCGCCTGATCCGTCGCGGATGCGGGGAGGAGGAAGGGTAGCTAGTGATCGCAGAAGCAGACTCTTGTCCGTAGGAGCGAAAGAGGCGCAACAGCGGAAGAAAAACCGCAGAAGCGGTTAAACTTTTGCAAATGCGAAAACACTAGCAGTGTTAAAACTAGGGGTTCCAAGGTTCTTTCTCATTTTTGGACTTCAAACACACGGTTTAGGGAGATTTTTCACAGGGATTTCACGAGAATTCTTGAGGTAAGTCACTTATGATCATTCTTAGTCAATAATATATTATTATCATTTAGTATTTCGACTAGCTTACGTCTTTTTGAGGTGAAATTCGAGGATTTGGGCCTAGGGATTTAAAAATAAGATTTGGGGATTTGAAGGTTGAGTTGATGTCGGAATCTGATAAAATATATTTGGTTGGAATCGTGGTTTAATGGGCGTTCACATTTTGTAACTTTTATCGGGTTTCGAGACGTGGGCCCCACTGTTGATTTTTGAATTGAATTTCGGATTTTAATTGGAAAATTTAGTATTTTCATAGAGAATTGGTTTCTATAATTCATGTTGAGTATATTGAATTGTTTGTGACTAGATTCTAGGCATCTGGACACCAATTCACAAGG